CTGCGCCGGCGGCACTTACCAGGACGAGGAAGGCATGACGGCGTGCGAGCCGTGCGAGGCGGGAAGCTACTGCGCTGTTGGCGCGGCGGCGGCGCTGCCGTGCGAGGCTGGCAGCTACTCGAGCGCCACCAACCTCACCGACGCGAGCGAGTGCACCGACGCCACGCCGGGCCACTTCGCCACCACCGGCTCCACCGAGCAGACGGCGTGCCGCGAGGGTTTTTTCGCCAACGGCACCCGCAACGACGCGTGTTAGCTGCGCCCCGAGGGGTACTACCAGGACCAGCCCGCCGCCGCCGCCTGCGTCCGCTGCGCTGCTGGCAAGTTTTGCCCGGTGGGGTCGTCGCGCGAGCTGGACGCGCAGTGCGAGGCGGGCACGTACGCCAGGCTGACCGACCGGAGCGGCGACCCCGAGTGCCTCGCCTTGCCCCGCCGGCTCGTCGTGCGGCGGCGGGGCGGCGCCGCCCTCCGAGTGCTCGCCGGGCTCCGTCGCCGCCACGGCCGGCCTCTCCGAGTGCGCCAGCTGTGCGGGCGGGACGTACCACGGCGAGTCGAACGCGACGAGCTGCCTTCCGTGCGTGGAGGGCAGCTACTGCGCCGAGGGCGCGTCGGCGCCGCTGCCGTGCGTTGCAGGCAGCTACTCGACCGCCACCAACCTCACCGCCGCGGGCGAGTGCACCGGCGCCTCGCCGGGCCACTTCGCCACCACCGGCTCCACGCAGCAGACGGCGTGCGCCAAGGGGTCGTACACGGACGCGTACGGGCAGGGCGCGTGCACGCCCTGCGCCGGCGGCACGTACCAGGACGAGGAAGGCAAGACGGCGTGCGAGCCGTACACCAGGTCGCCGAACCCGCTGCCCCCCTCGGGAGGCAGCGAGTATGCGACCTGAATGTTGGACCCGGTGGTTGCGCGCCGCCTGCGTCGCAGCCTCCAGGCCCTCCATCACGAACTCGACGTTCTCGCGCAGCTGCGCGTGCGGGTAGTCCGCACGCTCGGCCTCGCTCGCGGCGCGCTCGCCAGCCTCCTCCGCCCGGCGCGCCTTCTGCCGGGCCTTCTTGGCCTTGCGTGCCGCGGCTCGAGCCGCGAGCTGCTCCTTGGTGGGATCCTTCTTCTTCGGCGCGGTGCGCTCGATGTACGAGCGCTCCGCCGCCTGCACGTGCTTCAGGTCGACCTCGATGGTCGCGTAGCCAGGCTTTATCACCCTGACACAAGAAACACCGAACAACCCGCTTGCGACACTCACTGCGTCCTCCAGTTGCGCGCGATCGGAGCCATTCCAGGGTCCGCTGCGCCTCCCCGCCCCGGCAGCACGACGGTGGCCGGCGCTTGCGCGCCAGCCCCGTCCGCCGCCGGTGTTCCGCGGCCGCGGTCCCTGTCATAGCTACACGTGCGCGCCATGCCCATGGGCCGACGTGCCCGCCGACTCCGAATGTGCACTGTAGTGCGAGGTGTGAAGA